TCCTGCCTCAACCTTACTTACAGGCATGCACCACCATGCTTGGCAACAGGAAAGATATTTCTTAGGTTTATAGATAACACAGTAAGATTTTAGCTATTTGCTGTATTAGCATTGTTAGCTTCATAAAACCGTAGGTGATTAGGCAAATGGTCTGTGAAATACAAGAAAATTAATAATGCTCCTGCCACTAAGTATAAACAGATTACATAACAATTATGTGTTAATGAAGTTAGGTGACATTTCTTTAATTCTTGCTCTGGCCAAGTTTGTTTCATATTGTTTAACAGACTGATTTCAGTTTGAAGCCTGGTAATTGATCTTTCATTTTTAATGTTTGTACAGTATTATATAACAATTTCTTACTTGTATGGTGAACTAAACCTGTATTACCATGCCCCCTTTTTTGGGGGTGTGTGATGTGCTCAGTTTTTTGGTACTATGTTCATACCTATTAGCCAGATTTTCTTTTCTTTTTTTTTTTTGCATTGGAGTTTGAACTCAGGACCTTGTACTTGCAAGGCAGGCATGGTGGCCACTGAGCTAAATCCCTGGCCCAGCCAGACAGATTTTGAATGTATGTAGCTGTTCTTCTTATAAAAGGGCCTCAGGAAGCTATGCTTATAGCCTATAGGAATGTAAGATTTTGTTTATGGAGGTGGGATATAAGAAAATGGTTGTTCAAATGTAAATATTTGGTGGTACTTACTTGCTTTATTCTTTTTGGGGGGCGGTACCGGGGATCAAACTCTGGCCCTTGCACTTGCAAGGCAGGTGGCGGAACCACTGAGCTAAGTCCCTGGCCCTTTTTGCCTTATTCTTTATTGACAATATAGCAGCATCCATACATCTACAGTGGAATGTAATGTAATGCTTTCATATTGATATGCTGTATTATGGAGAGAAGAAGTAAAGGAAAAAAGAGAAGTGGCATTTTTATGATGGAACCAATCTGCCAATTTGTAAGGCACTTACAAACTTCTGATTGAACAGAAATGGTCAAATAAATGTCATTTAAATTGAATAGAAAGCTTGGAAAATAAGTGTCTTAGGAAGGAACCTTGTGAGCAACAGAAATGTATCGATTGGGCCAGTCTCATTGTTTAGAATCATTTTCTTTTATCAACAGTAGTGTTTAAGGAATTATAAAATGGTTTGTATACCCTTTGGTTAACTTTGTGTCTAAACTTTAACAACAGATTGAGGCTCTTATTTTAAAAATTAATCAGAATTAGTGTGAAAAATAATTTTTGTGATTTTTTTTCTGGCATTGTGTTTCCATTAATTGTTCTGTATAGAAATTCATATAATTATAGGTGGAAGTATTCAAATTATTTCCTTGGAAATTTGACTAAGGACATAAATGCTAGGGATTTCTTATATTTTAGCATGGATTCTACAAGGGGGAAAAAAAGAGAAAAGAATAGATTAGTATTTGAACCCTATACACAATCCATACTCTGTAATGTATGTAATCATAGTAATTTAATGAACGTTTTGAATCAATATGAATATTAAAGCAACCCTAAATTCATTCCGACTGTCCATCCCGTCTGTCTGCCTATAGGAGACAATTTCTTGCTTTGTAGTTCAGACTGGCCTGGAACACACTGTGTAGCCCAGGCTGGCCTCAAATTCATGGCAATCCTCTTGCCTGAACCTTGTGAGTGCTGGGATTAGAGAGGCATGCTCCACCACACCTGGTTTATCAATCCTAAATTCAATTTAGGATTGAGGGTGCCATCTTAATATGGCCAATCTCTGTCTTATTTCAAATGACTGTATTTCATATAGTTTAAAATAGCTTTAATAAAATTTAATAGAGGATAAATTCACAGAAAGCATTTTTTACACATACATAAAGGTTTCAGTATGTACAAACCATTTAATTTGGGAATGGTGATAAGATCATGAATCAAACATATTAGTTGGGACACTACTGCAAGGAGATGGAAAGAGCTATAATTTATCTACCTTTGGCTCTTAGGTTCTTTCTTTTCCCTCCTACATGGTTGATCTCTAGAAGCTATAGAGTAGTCATTCATCCTGGTGAGGTTAGCAACAGAGACTTGGTAAGTTTGGTAGTACATTGAGAAGCTGGGTTTGAACAAGACACAAAAATTAGTGGGTTTATATAGTTCTCAAAGTGCTTAATTTAGGTTTTCATAAAGTTTGTCTAAGTTAAATGAGGATATTTTAAGTAGATTTTTAAAAATTTATTTTTATTTTTCAGCCAAGCCCAACAGAAAGCTTACTTTTCTCTACCTAGCCAATGATGTCATTCAAAACAGCAAAAGGAAGGGGCCGGAATTTACAAAAGATTTTGCACCAGTTATAGTGGAGGCCTTTAAGCATGTTTCAAGGTATGATAATTGTTTGGTGTCTTAGGTAAACCTGTTTTCAATGTGCTATATTTCCTTTGCTAAAATTACCTTAAGGCATTACAATAATAAAAAAAAGATGGTGTTTTTGAAACTTTCATTTGAAAAGACATTTCTAAATAGCCTTTGTAAGAGAGGAATAACTGTTATACTGGAATAAATTTCATTGAGAATGAATTGAAAGTTTGTGTGCATATAAAAATACAGATGTTATTAATATTTCTGAATGTATTTAGTACTGTACTCTTTTCCTCATTTCACTTACAGTTTTAAGGTTTTCTGGTGTGGGTGTATGTCTTAACATTTTTAAATGCTCTGGAAATAAGGAATACTTAAAGGTAATTGTAAGCTTGCTGAAAAATTTTGCTACAGATAATTTGGAGTTTGAAAGTCTATACTTTAGCTTATTGCTCCTTTAAATACTCATTTCTGAACATTATATACAAGTACATGTTACTAGAAGTAATTATTATTAAATCAGTCTAAATTATAGAATTCAGTGGTAAATGGTGATCTGTGTTGATAGAAGGGTGAGGAATTACAGTTTAAATCACATTTGAAAAAATATGTCAAATACTGTTGCATTTTGCTTTCTAATTATTATTTACCCTTCAATTTAGATACTGTCTTCTACTATCTCTTTAAATATCAGTGTCTTAGAGTCAAGTCCTATGCCTTCTTTGGGGACCATATTCTCCACTTGCCAACTTGGTAATTTTGTATTTAGTTATTGTGTAGACTCTAATGACTTGAAGTTTTATATTCTATCCAGATGTTTTTTCTCTAATCACAGACCTGTGTCCAGTTGCCTCTACTTGTATACATCTTAAATATCTAACTCTGTCTGATACTGAACTTACCACTTCTATGCTTCCTTACCACTTCCATGCCAAACCTCCTACTTCTCTGCAACTCCATCCAGGTTTCTATGCAAGAAATTAGGTGTCCTTTTCAAATTTTACTTCTTGTTCATTGTTGATATTCCATATAACACACATTCCTTTAGTTGCTTTCTTTCTTTTAGTTACTGAAATGTCTTTCTGTATAATTGCCATGGTCTCTCTTATTTAATCCCTTTGGGAAGCTTTATGTAGAGTTGCAGAGCCAATCATAACACTCCCTTGCCTTTGAAGTGTGGAGCAAGACTTAACGGCTCCTTCATGGCACTGCCTATCTCTCTGGACTCCTGTCTCACATTGCTTCGGAACACAGTCTGTAGTCTACAGTTTGTGCTAACAGAATCTTTTCTTTTTCTTTGTACCTTAAGGCTTTTATGTATGTTGCCCCTTCTAGAATTCAATATAGAGCATTGACCATGTACTATGTGCCTGAGAATGTAATAGTAAGACAAAGTTCTGTTCTGGTGCATCTTATGTTTCAGGGGGTGTAAAAGATAATAGACAGGCAATTGTATATTGTTAGGTGACATCCTAAAGAAACAAAGTGGGTAAAGAATTAGAGGGTATGAGGATACTCAATTATATAATAAGAATAGCTTTTGGGAGTGACATTTAAACAATAAAGGAAGAGATGTAGTAGCCCCATTTGACTCTAGGAGGAAAGACTTCTAGGCAAAGAGAATACTTGGTAGAAATGATGAAACAACTATATATATATATATATATATATATATGAGGCAGGAAGATTTGTGTGGGAGCAAGTATTAGGGAGTCTGGACTGAGATGTTGCTGGGAATCAGAGCATGTTCACATTGTGGCCCAACAGAAGGATTTTTATTTCCTTCTTGATCAGTAGCTCTTGGATGATTGAGAATGATCCATTTAAGAGTTGGCTGTTTTGTTGAGTGGAAAAGTATCTACTGGGAGATTGATGAGAATGTAATAAAAGTCTAGGCAAGAGATTCTAGTTGCTTACTTTACAGTAGTGGTGATAAAGAAGGTAGGGAATGGTTAGAAATAATCTGTTTGTCATTTCCCTGTGTATCTAATATTCAGATGTTTGATTGGATATCACTTTCTCATACTTTTCCTGATCTCTCTTAAACTGGGATAGATTTCTTTCTGTTTTCTGTCTTTTAGCACCTTGTTCTCTTTTGTAACATTTATACATAATAACTCATAAAGCTCCATTTGATTATTATATTAGAGATAGTGCCTTGTTCAAAAAATATTTGTTGAGTAAATTAAAAAGTCATTTGTTAGGGCAGGGGATTTAGCTGAATGGCACTGCACCAGCCTTGAAAGCACAAGATCCTGAGTTCAATCCCCGGTACTAAAAAAAAGAAAAGTCATTTGTTAGAAATCTTAGGCTCATGTTCAACCTCCATTAGGTTAAGAACATTTTAGAAGCCCCTAGATCCTAAAACTTAAGTTTTTTGGTAATTTTGTTGTTGTTATTGTTCAATATGTTTATAAGCTTTGGGAGAGTATGTCTTGATCACATCATCCTTGAACTGCTGGCCCATAGTGATGCCCAGTAAACATTTGGGTTGGTTTTTCCAGGGAACGAAAGAAACTGTATTTAAAGTCACCATTACCTTTTCAATACTACTGTACATTTTTACTATTAATATTTTTCTTTTTTCTTTAGTGAAACTGATGACAGTTGTAAGAAGCACCTTGGAAGAGTGTTATCTATTTGGGAAGAAAGATCTGTTTATGAAAATGATGTATTAGACCAACTTAAGCAAGCTTTATGTAAGAATCATCTTCATATCTCTTACCGTGATCTCTTCATTAAAATGTTTTTCTTTCATTAAGACTTAAATGTTCTTTAAATTCAGATGGTGATAAGAAGCCTAGGAAGCGAACTTATGAACAAATAAAGGCAGATGAAAATGAAAATTGTTCTTCTCTGGGATCTCCAAGTGAACCACCACAGGTAAAAGATTTTCTCTAATTAAAGTGAGTTCTGTTTCACTTTGTGCATTGAGCTTTATTAATTTTGCTGTTTCTGGGTACAAGAAAGAAGCTGCAAGAGTATGTCTTATTTTCTGGTTAACAGTGCTTATGTTAATATAGCATGTTATATATTGCATGTTTTGTGTATAAATAATTTTTCATAGAAGGGATTTCTGATTGCTAAGTATTATATATGGTATCTTGGCCACTATTTATTTTGAAAATAAAACATCTGGTAAACATATTGTTGTGTGACATAAGCGCACTAAAATATTCTTAATTATGAATACTACTTTTTAAAGTATTCTAGCTTTTAAACAACAAAAAAAGCATTAGAGTGACAAATATACAGTTCTATATAACACTGTAGTTCTATGTAAGAATCAATAAATTAGAATCTATCTTAATACTGTAAATCCTCCTGGGTTGATATAGTATAGTATTCCTTAATCATTAGATGAAAGACATTTTGAATTTGTAATAAAGTGGGCATTGAGTCTTTAAGTTTCCTTCTTTTATGTTTGAAACATATAGGAGGGACAGATAAAATTTCAAAGGAGAAAATGAAGACATAGCCATTCTCTTAAAACAAGGTAAATATCATTAAGGGCCAGAATAGTACAGAAGCACAGCACATTGTATTGGCCTGTTAATTTCTGGTCTAGAAGCAGACATGGGATGCCAAAAGTTAGTATCTTATGCTGGATGTGGTGGCGCATGCCTGTAATCCCAGCACTCGGGAGGCTAAGGCTTGAGGATTGCCCCAAGTTCAAGGCCATCCTGGGCTACATAGTGAGTTCAAGGCATGCCTTAACTACATAGCGAGACTGTTTAAAAAACATTTTAGTAGCCTACAGATAAAAAGATACCACATTGCTCCATGGCAATTAGAGGACTGGATCCAAAGTTTTTGCATGTAACCAGAAACTGGAATGGGCTTTTTCCTTGTTAAAAGGATCTTGAAAGAAAGATGGTCATTTACTACCTATAATTGTGGCTTTATATTACTCTTTTTTTTTTTTTTGGTACCGGGGATTGAACTCAGTTCCTTGCGCTTGCAAGGAAGGCCACCGAACCACTGAGCTAAATCCCCAGCCCCGTATATATTACTCTTAAACCTAAGGAGGCAGAAGAATTAGACCAAGGTTGTCAGCCAGGACTTGAGTGGAGCTTCCTGTTAGTCCAGTAACAGGGATGAGGAACACTGAAGCCCACTCGTCACCATGGACTAGAATTTAAATAGAAAAGTAGTGAGAACATGGCTTTGGAATAACCAAACATTAACATGTATGTCTCTCCTTATTTGATAGTAACTTATGACAAAATCATTTTGTGAACAGTGTTTTACCTGAGATCTAGATACAATATCTCCTACTTGCACTGGTGAGAGAGTAACAACAATAGTTCTTCAATATTTCTTAATTAACTATCTGACTCTTCTAGTACTTGTATAAAATGATATCGCTCTTTGTTTTATAGTGATCATTTCAGATCAGTTGTGCTCCTTAATTCTCAGTGGTTCAGCTTTGTGGTCATATATCATTTTAGAATAGCAAAAATTTCTCTTTGCAGGATATAGTTGAACTCTCCTGTTGTAGGAAATCCTAGACAAGTGTTTCAAATATCTTTGGTTTCTTATCTAATCTGTGATCTGAAAGTGAGAATGTAGAATTAACTCATGTAGGAAGGGATGTAAATGTATGACAAAATCCAAGCTGTATGAGGTAGTTAATGTGTAGTGATTGCTTAAATTTTTAAAAGTATTACATTAAAAGACACATTACATTCTCACTTTGGCAACACATACACTAAAAGACACATTGCCATTAATCCTCCTTAAAACATTCCCCATATTCTTCGAACATAACACTTTCTGAAGCAATTCAAAAAGCCCTCTTTTGTGAGTATCTTTAGCTGTGCTGTTGTGGCTGCATCACTGTCCTGAATACATTTACTTTTCACGGTTGTTTTGACTTTGGGGAAGAGCCAGAAGTCACTTAAGTTCCAAAAACCTGGTGAATAAGGTGGGTGAAGATGCACCGTTATGTTTTTGACAGAAATTGCTGTAAGCAGTGTTGGGTGATAAAAAAATATGATGAATGTGGAAAATTTTAAAAATTTTATTACACTAGGAGACATTACCATTAATTCCCTTCAAAATATTCAGAACACTCCCCCTTCCTTTATATACTTATTCCATTGTTCTTGGCCATGTGTCTTTTACTGTGTGTTTTATGTTAGGATCAGTGTAGTCCCAAGAGGCATCCATAGTTGATTATCACTATTTACCCAGGATCGCCTAAGATGCGTGCTACAAAATATTCTGGCTTGTTCAGGGAGAGCCTGTGTTGTTCTTACTACAGAGGATCTTCTCTGACTCTGAGAGGATCACTAACAAGATGAACTTACTCCTGCCCCCACCGCACCATGTGTGTCCTTAGATGTATAGCTTTGTAAATGGTTTCAAAAGATTCATGCACCGCCTCTGCCACCCAGCATTTGATTACCCCGTGAGCTATGGCTGTTACCTGCCTCAGGGCTGCAGCTACTCCCATGCTTGTTTGTTTATTCCCTTCTGTGCACCAGAGCCACTTCCAGCCTCAACTAGCTGTGTAGCAGTGCATTGGTAAGGTGTCTCCCTCCCTCCAGAGGCTCCCAGTCTGTGCGCATAGGGGCACGGCAAAGATCCAAGCACAGGTGTGTCCTTGGGTGCATGGGGGAGGCAGGCAGATGACGGAGTTCCGTGTGGGAAGAGGGCAGCCCTGAGAACAAGCAATCCCTTAGATTCAGTCTTGGTGCTTGCAGACCCAGCCGCCTCAGAAAACCACCTCTCACAGTGTGAGCCCCGTGCCTCTGTGGGATGGGAGTTTTGGGGGTCATTCTTGATCTAAACCATAACACTTTGTGTTTCCAGTCAGATTCTTCTCCCTTCATAAGAGTGTCTGTCCTCGTCGGTAGGTGGTTCATGCCCTCTACAGCCTGAGCTACCAGCTGCTTGAAATTCTAAGCAAGACTGTGTCTGACCCTGCCCTCTCCAAGACCGTGTCTTGTGGCTGTCTCCCATCCAGTCCCTGGGAACTGTGAATTGTGGTCGTTCTGTCATTTTTTAATCCTCAGAGTATCTTAGTCCCAAACAGTAAGTCCCCTCTCAAGACAGCTTCTGGTTATACACTCTGCAGTGGATTTTCTCCCCAAAGCTAGCCTGCAGGAGGAGTACCTTTCAGACTAAATCCCCACAATGGATTTACAGCTTGCAATAACCATGGATTTTTCCACTGGTTAGAACTGCCAGTCCATTGTTTATCACTGGGTCTGCCAGCCCTCTCCTAGCCTACCTAATGTCTTAGTCACTTTCTCATTGCTGAGGCACAGTTCCTGACACTCACAACTTAAAAGAGGAGAGGTTTATTTTGGCTCACAAGTTCAGAAATTTTAGTCCACGTTCAGCAGGCTCGAATACAAAAACATTGTGGGGGAAGGGACTGGAGGTGGGGAGTATTGGAGCCATGGTAGCCAGGAAGTAGAGAGAGAGAAAGGAGGAGCCTGGAAAGGAGAGATGCCTTTTTAAAATTAAACATTACCATATTTTTTTCCCCATATCTTATAGTTCTAGCATAAAGGCACTATCAAGATCATAAAGCCAGATTTCTTAGAGATTAGAAACTTTTAGAATTTTCTGATTAATTAGTTGAGAGGCCGTGAGAAAATAGCTTCTTGATATGTATCATTGCTCTGAAACATTCTTTCATTGTAGAGAGAAATATATCTTAGAAAAAATACATTTTTTTAAGAGACAACAATCTTAGAATGTTGCTCAGGCTGGCCTTGAATTCATGTATTCAGGTGATCCAGCCTCAGGCTCAGCCTCAGCCTCCTGAATAGCTGGGATTATAAGCATAAGCCACCATAACCACATAGATGTCATCTTGATATATACTCAGAATTAGTAATATTTTATATTTTTAAAGTATATATGTATAATTTCCTAGTGTCCTTGAATCTAGTCTTAGAAAATGAAAACATAAGAAAAAAGGGATGAGGATGGAGGCTAGAAAAGAAAATACTTGTTTTTTTTTTTAATAACTTGTATTATGGCTTATGAAATTGCCAGCAAAGAATTCTTCTTTTTCTAATTATAGCTAGTATGAAAATAGTGAAATGAAATATGTTATTTACTTTCTCATCCTAACTATAGTTGTATGAAAACATTACAACTAAAGTACTGTAATGATGATTAGTATATTGGCTAAGCAATATATAAACAATCATTAGATACACAAAATTTAATGGTCTTATTAATAAACCATAAGACAGTTGAAGATATACTTCAACTTAATTCAAAACTTCATTTCTCTGGCCTTGCAAACGCAAGGTCCTGAGTTCAATCCCTGGTACACACACACACACACACACACACACACACACACACAAAACAAACAAACTTCATTTCTCTTATGCATTATAGTATTTAGGAATAGAATCTGAGCGACTCTTCTGTGTTTTAGAAGATTATTTGTGTCTCCTCTTCCCAAAATCCAGTTTGATAAAATTTTTTAAATGTTTGCAATGATAATGTAATGATATATCATACATAAAACTTGTATTCTCTAGGTTGAAGTTGTAGCCTACCTTCCCTTTTACCATTGGTATATCTGCCATATAAATCAGTCACTTATCTCACTTTAATAACTAGGTAAGTATTTTTATACTGTTTCTACCACTAGAGTGTGACCTTCTCAAGGTCTAAGGGTCCTTGTGTCTTTTACATTTTCAATAGCTAACAAAGTATGTCTTCTCAATGTGTAGAAGAAGTGAATTGTCTTAAGCAGTTTATATTGGACACTTGATCTAATGAGTAACTCATAAGAATTAGAAAAGTGAAAAAATTCAAGATTTATATTTGTTTAAGTTTTACTTTGGTTCTGAAGTCCTGTAACTTTTTAGACTTTAGATCTCGTTAGAGCATTACAAGATCTAGAAAATGCAGCTTCAGGTGATGCCGCGGTTCATCAGAGGATAGCTTCTTTGCCTGTTGAAGTCCAAGAAGTATCCCTACTAGATAAAATAACAGGTGAGTAAAGAAAATGTAACCTAGAACTCTTGGATCCTGGGTGGGGTGTGGAAAGAGGATATCACTGTTTTTGTGGTATAATTTTATTATCCTATGCTTTTCTTAGATAAAGAATCTGGAGAAAGGCTTTCTAAAATGGTAGAGGATGCTTGTATGTTGCTGGCAGATTACAATGGCAGATTGGCAGCAGAAATAGATGATAGAAAGCAACTCACTCGAATGTTAGCAGATTTTCTTCGTTGTCAAAAGGAAGCCCTTGCAGACAAAGAGCATAAATTGGAAGTGCGTAACCTTTTCCTTCTTTAGTGCTTACTTATTTTTTTGATAAGAATTTTAACATGTGAATATAACTGCATATCTTGCATTTTTGGGATCATAGACCATTTTAGGCTATGGCTCAGGTAAGCTTGCATTAATGGGTTTTCTTCTACTCGAACTAAATCAGCCTATTAAGTAAACTTTGAAATTTGGAATTAGCAGAATTGGTTGTGTTTGAAAGCACTCATGTGAAACTCCATGCAATGGTAGTAAATTGTCAGTTTAAATATTTATCCTCTAGCACAAAAATAATGGGAAAATAGCAGTTGGTATGAAGCCTGGTATCAACTATGATAAATTATGATTAGATTCATTCAATTCCTTTTCTGAATACATACAATTTTTTAGCTGTATGATTTAAGCCTTCAGATTATTTCCTTGAAACCCAGGCACGATGATGCATGCCTGTAGTCTCAGCTGTTTGGGACACTGAGGCAGAAGAACTGTTTGAGTCCGTGAGTTAGAGATCAGCCCGAGCAATGTGTCAAGCCCCTGCATCCAAAAACCACATATTGCTCCTATATTCTACCCTTGATTCTGATACTTAGCATTTATACCTGTTACACCTCCTAGCTCATAAACATACGAGGTAGAAAGTCATTGCTGCTTTAAGCAGTAATTGATAATATTGATAATACGTCTAGGAGTGCAGGAGATAATAAAAAGGAGCAGTGTCATATTTTCTTTGAGAAGAATAGCCATTATTGGGATAGATGAACTAGATTTGGTTTTAAAAGAATCCTTCAGTTGACTACTTGTTTAAATTGTTTACTGCTGTACCAGTTTCTTATTCTAATAGATAATTTCTAATATATACAGACAGCTCACTGTGACTTTGTAGATATGTTATGGTACTGTATATATTAAGGTGCTTTTGTTTATAGTTTTACTTAATTCTTGTCTCACCAATCTCTAATTATGCTCTAAATGGTGCTTTGACTGGCTTGTTATTACTGCCTGGTGGAGAGCTACTTGATCACCTTCCAGTTTCTCAGCTCTTAATTTTTTAGTACTATTCCGTTTCAATTTTCTTCTCTGCTCACATAGACACATTCAGTTAATGGCACCATGCTTTATCCTTGAGAAGGTTGCCCATTTCTACATGGAAAAGAAAAGGTAGATTTTTCCTAAAGACATGTTTGATAGTTAACATCAGTTTTTGGTCTTGTGAAATTTCAATCTTAAATATGTTACTTGTTTTGCTTTCTGCAGAATTAAGGGTAAGTAATGTTATACAGTTTTTGTCTTTAGTCTTTTGGTATGGTTTCTTTAACTTCTGTCGAGCTTCTGTTGCAGATATTGGACATGGGCGTATCTTCTAACGATGTCATCACCATTAGCATATTTTTCCTGTTAAAAATAAATATCAAACTCAAAAGCCTGTATTGTCTCATGTTTTTGAAAATTGAAAAGAAGATTGAAACTTATTATTCTACTGTATCCTGCTTTCTCAGTTTTGCTTCTGGTCATTTATCACTGGTTTCAAAAACAGAATTTTCTTTTGAAATGTAAGTGTAGAAAATAGATCAAATACCATCCACCCTTCCACAACCTCCTCTTTTCCCAGTACATTCCGGCCAGATTTCATAGTTAGTATTTGTGGGTAGTGAGGCTGATGATCACAATAACATTTACTATGTATCAGGTATATTTTTCTAGGCATTTCACATAGCTCATTTAATTCTTAGAGCAAGATGTATTGCACTTTATTTATTTATTTTTGTGGTACTGGGGAGTGAACTTGGGATCTTGTGCTTGCAAGGCAGGCAACAGCACCATTGAGCTAAATCTGCAGCCCGATTGTGCATTTTATAGACATGGAAATGAGGCATAAGGAGATAACCTAGCTTGCCCAAGGTCACAGTGAGCTAGAGAATTGTTTAGAACCCAGTCAGCCCTCCAGAGTCAGTGCACTTAGTCAAAAAGACATCTGTTTCCTATTTTTGCTTAAAGAAATGTAAGACTACAGCACAAACTGAAGCCCTGTTTCTTCATTTCTTTCTGGACCTCTTCAGAGGTGATCACTGTCTTAAATTGTGTTCTAGGGACTTTTGTTCAGTACAACTGGATTTTTTTTTTTT